CTATGGATGTCAATGGCTACCAGCAACAAATATTAATAAATATGGCTGTTTATGATACTTGCTAGTCACTTTGTAGATTTGTAAATCATTTGCTTAGTGAACCTTTGAAGGGTTTTATTATTAGCAGGTATTTTTAAGTCTCAGGAGTTGAAGCACTTGAGCATTTGACACGGCACTGCTCCTCTTTATCTGAAGAACCTGTTGAACTGACAGAAGTACAATCTCCTTTTAGGTGGGTGATCGGAAATTGAAAACACTGATATTTTTAATAAAGCAATTTGTGTGATTTCAGTTGTTTTTATTGAAAGTCTTTCTTCAAATGAAACAGCAATAAAATTTTTTTTATTGTTGGCTAAATGTGGACATTAGACTTGTAATTAAATTACGTAACGCCGTTACATGTAACTAGTTACTCCCCAACACTGGACATATATTGGCAGAGAATGATTAACTTCACTGCCAAGGTTGAGTCCCAGACTATGTAATTTTTTCCTGAAGGGACCATAATTTAACTACGGGGACATCTCTCCGAAGCTATCTGAACTGCCGAAGCTAGTGACAACACCCGGGTTGGATGCCAGCAACATCTTTAGTTAATAGATCACCCATAAATTCGACATTTGTATCATCAGCCCTGATCCTCATTTGTCTGTTTTCAGAGACAGCACTGCTCTGATTCTTCAGGTTTACACAATAATATTTCCCTGGACCAATGCCACAGGGCAGGAATCCCACACATCTGACCCTGGCAGGAGGACTATATACACAATTGAAAGCATCAATCTGTCCCTAACATTTGTCTTGCACTGCCCTTGCTGAAGGTTAGATCTGCTTTTATTGCTTTGTTGACTACAGTAAAAAGAGCATGGGAAGATTATCAGTGAATAACTGCTTTTGATCGATTCATTCCTCAAAAAAGCTTACCGTATGACTTCAGAAGGCTTAATAAAAGTCACTTTTATGGGACTTTAGTGATGTTTATTTAGTAATTTTGGAGCCATTCACATTCATTATATAGGAAACAGTGGCCAGGATATCCTTATATTCTCCCGATTTGGAACAGCATAAGCATAAAAAAATTAATATGAGCATTAAAATTAGGTGTCTGAACCAATCACTGTCTGTTCGATGTCAAATGCTGAGCTGAATTAGTGATCGCAGACCCAATTTGACAAGGTTTTTGAATGGAACCGAACTATAATTAGAAGTGAATTAAACTGCACGAGAAAGAGACATTATCACAATTCATTCCTGATGGTTAATAATTCAATTCTGAAATTCAATAAAATATTTTTAGATAGATTATAGTGAGATGGTGCTTAAAACCATATTTGTGGGATCAGATCAAGCATTCTTCCAAGATATTGTCCATGTATCCTTAACATAACTTTACTATGGACAGTCTATGACTGCAGTCAAAAGAAATGGCAATTACAAATGTAATAAATATAAATAGGTAGATAAATAGATTATAAATGTATAGTGTTAGACTTGTAAAGATATATAAAGTGTAATGGCTGTATATAAATATCATTACTCCAGTCTTCAGTGTCACATGATCCTTCAGAAATCATTCTAATATGCCGATTTGCTGCTCAAGAAACATTTCTGATTATTATCAATGTAGAAAACACAATTTAGAGTTTTTAAAGTAGTTTGTGTTTGTAAATTCTATAAACTGTATATGCCTTCTGTATCCCCAGTATTTGTGAGTGTTATGTATATATTTTGTCCTAATAATTCTGATTTCCAAATTTTTTTATTGTGTGTTGTCATGTGAACATGTTGGCATCAAGGGAGATGGATGCGATTAGTGATAAACACTCACTTTTAAACAAATGAAATGCATCATTGGCCCCAAAATAATACATGACTGTATATTTGCAGAAACGGGTGTAAATGATCTGTGATCTGTAAATCATCCTTTCTGGTTCCACAGAACAGGAAGGTGATTAGAATCTGTGACAGCATGAAATATTGATGAACAGAAAATGTACGTGACAGCTGCCATTTATTTTATAACATTACAGACTACATGCTACAATTAAGTTCATTAAGTTCTAGAGAAGCTGAGATCTGCATTGACCCATGAAGCGCATTGACTATATCCCCAAATCACTTGACAAAAGAGTGACAGGGCAAGTTAGTCCATCTTGACAGATAAATGACCCTCAATCACCCGCTTCTTCCACCCCAGGAGCCTCTGATCTGGATAATCCTGTGCTGTTCAGGTAGAATAATTAAACGCCTCCCCTACAGGCTGCCCATTTCGCCACACTCACCTGTGCCATGGAAATGGCACTGACCACACGTAGAGATTTCAGAAGCACCTCAGGTAGATTGAGCTCCTGACAGAGAGAAAACAGCGCTACTCTTCACAAACACACATGCATACACATACCAATGAATTATATAAGGTTAATTGTCACTCACCATCACAGATTGATAAATCTCTTGATTTTTTTCTCTCTTGGAAAGTCATAGAAATGCTATTGTGGATTTTTCTTTTGCTATTGGGAGAAAGAACACCAAAAATATATAGCCTATTTGTAGTCATTTCCATTCCCCACCATAGACATTTACTCAACTATGACGATTTCCACTTCTGAGAACCCTAAAAATGTGAAAAAGGTCCTGGAGACATTGCAAATATGGCCGCTGAGTGAGCTTCCATTTAATCTCTAAGGAAAATGGTGTGAATTTATCGTATGAGAGATTCCTTATGACAAAAATGTTCTGTCTTTTACTCAGTTTCCACTTGAACCTTCCTTTGAGGCTTTTTAAACATTACAAGCTCAATCTAGAGACCTGGTCGGGACGGATTTTTCAGTCCCGCTCCCGCAAGATTCTGTCCCGCGCCTGCCTGCTCCCGCAAAAATATATACCCGCCCACACCCGCACTCGCCCATCAAGAGTTGTCCCGCGCCGCACCCTGTTGCGTTGGGTCCCGCGGGTCCCGCTGTACTCCCGCGGGAGTGCAGGTCTCTAGCTCAATCTCTCAAAATAATAATATGTTCTGGTCTTGCTAAATCTCCATGTCACTTGGGGTCCTTTTGTTTTCCACTCGACATTGATACATGTAGGTCTGTCAACGAGGCCACACACTGCGCTTCATATTGACTGAACATCTATTCAATTCTGCTTAAGTGCATCTGGCTTCTCTGTGTCTTCTACTCAATACAAGAGGCCGATAATACAGCGGGACATTAAATGTTCGTCTGTTCTTAGAAGAAAACATATGGAGTATGCTTTGATCATGAGAATCAGACCTCATTCTCTGGTTGTCATGATGGAGAACCAAGAGCTCTTCATTTCTGTAAAGTCACACTCCGCCTCTGAGTCACAAACAACAAATGACATTTCCTGTGTTTGCAAGTGACCTTCTTCTCAGGTTTAATTGAGATAAATGTGAAAAGGCCAGTAAATGTGACATGACATTTGAAAGCAGATCATCTTGTGATAAACATTGTACTCATGTACGTCTGCAGAGGATATGTCTAGTGAAAATTTCTGCCTGATTCTAATATCTGTTTTTATTTTGAACGTAACGTTGTATTGTGACTAAATTAGGTCAATCTTTTCCCAAAGGATTGTTATATGCCAATGACAGATGCTGAGCTTTATCCAAATTTAGACAACTGTTCAGCATAATTATGATTATCTGTAATTCCCAAACCTACAGTAATTTGGTTTGGAGAGCACTTCTGATGACTGTATGCACAGAATAGCACCAAACGGTTTCCCATGTCGTATTATTTTCAAAGACAGAAGGCAAACCACCTCATTTAATTGCAACATCACTAAAACAATTATTGATTGGCTTGACCTTTGCCCTTTAGCTAATCAAATTCATATGAAGAGGCTTGTCAAACTACACAGCCAAACAACCTTTTCACCTGTAATTGTCTGTCAATGCTGCTATTGATTAAGATGTCCACAGGCTTTCTCTTGTGTAATCAGTTTCCTTGTGTGTTGATCCATTAACTCAAAAGATGTCTGAGGACGCACAGAATCTTAGTCTTGCTAACTGATATACCTAAACATCAGACTGGATTATCAGACAAAGTATTTGTTTTACTAAAACATTGGCAATAAAACAATACTCTCTCACGTATGTGTTTTTGTCTCTTTTTTTGTACTTTTTGTTTCTATATTTCTATCATGACAAATCTGTGAGAGTTTAGCACGGTAATATACATGACAATGTTAATGTGTTTGGTCTTGGTGGAATAGATCTGCTAAGCTGCTGCAGCAGCAGCAGAGCAAGTATTGAGGCTTGCTACTGCCAATTCATCCACAGACATGTGAGCATGTAAGAAACACTGTATAACATATATATAATAATTACATATATAAATTTCATGAAATCACACAGTAGCAGATCTATACAGGTGGAGCTGGGGAAGGTGGAGGGTTTCTGAAGTGCGCTGCAACTGCTACAGCAAACACTAGCCAAGTATTTCAATGTTGAGCAGCAAGCTCATTGGCTGCTAATGCAAAAAAAACCAATCGGCTGCACCATGTGAAAAATGATGTCAGTATATCTTAAGTTTCATAAAACAATATTATATATATATATATATATATACACACACACACAATATATTATATAAATGTTATATAGATTATATTATGATATAACATATTTAAAATGTATGCAAAGTATACATTTTTTACTGAAAGAATTTAGTATTATTTTATGTGATATTTTTGTCAGATTTTTCTAAACTCTTTGAAAATTTTCATTCTCTAGTAGTGAACCGGTGAAAAATAATAAATTTAGCACACATACCCTGTGAGCTCTGCTTGTCTTGTTAATAACGAGGGCTTCTGGATGTGGGCAGGGCTGCTGGGCTCTCCACTCAGTCTCCTGCTGTTCTCATCTCTCACGCCACACACACACACACACATACACACGCCGATCCTGATGCTGGAGTCAGAGAAGCACCTGCAGTGAGCAGCGCTGGAGTCCCGGAGCAGCTCTCACAGCCGCTGTCTGGATGTCCATGAAAGGCAGAGGATCCAAATACCAGAAAAGAGTGTCGTTTTCTGAGGATGAAGATGACCAGTGCTGGAAAGAGGAGAACGGCGGTGTGGACGCACATCACCTGAAATCCGTCAAGACGGTCAGGGATCCATCGGGATATTACCGGTACAACATGTGAGTGTTCATACAACTACACAAACTCACACTAATGTCTTGGATTTCAGTGATAAAGTAGTGAAATGAAACAACGCGCAAGGACGGAATACATAATTGTAATTATATGAAAAGTATAATAAATAAGATTTCTGTATATTTCTTTGAGCTTAAAATATAAGTTTCATAGTAATCTCTTAAGTGTGATTTTTTTATTATTATTATTAAAATACATTAAATATGTTGTTCCGGTTTAAATAGTCCTGTTGAACCTGTCTCTGCAAACATCTGTCATTAATAACTTGAATCAAAAAATGGCACTGACAAGCTAAACGACGTAAAATACAGTTTATTTTTATTTTCTAATAAAAGCTGTGATATATGCACCTTGAAGCGACACGAAGGTCATTTCTCCCCTGAAGATTAATGTATGAGTGTGGGTTTACTGTATTTGTCTCCATAAGTGAGCTAATGTCTGTCAGAGAAAGTCTTTCTCACAATATATATATTTTAAACATAATGTAAACAAAAAGTAAAATAAGCATCAACCACCCCAGTCTTTGTGTACAAATTATTAGCTATTTATTTTAAAAAAAATATGTAATTCCTGCCTGAAATTAACATTTTTTTTTTTCAAAAGTTCATTAAAAGTGTAATGTGTGAGAAAAACAAAGGAAGATCCAGGTAAATTCCTAACAATATTTCTACAGTGCATCATTTCCAGTTCTGCTGCAAAAAGATTAGAAAATATAGCACATAAAATGCAAGCTAGCTTATACAAGGCAAAGAAGCTGGTTAGTTTATTCCAAAGATGCTTCAACTGCCATTTCCACCATCAGAGAATGCTGTTAAACTTTTTTTTTTTTTTTTGATCGGTAGCTTCAGGTCATGAATGTATAGTTCCCCCAGTTTATTTGAGACTTTGAGTTTTATTGACTTGGGGTAAAAAAAAAAAGTATTATAAAAGCTGAAATAAATGAACTTTTCCACGACATTCTAATTTATTGAGATGCACCTGTAGCTGATTAGCAGCAAACAATATACACATATTGATTTTGAACTTACATGACAAGGAAGGTATATATTTTACCAGCTCATGTTTGTAAAATGAAATGTCCACATGATGTTTCCTCTGTTGATCATTAAAATAACAACATAAATTACAATTATTTTGTTAAAAAAAAAAATAAATAAATAAATAAATAAGTACTTAACTCATGTTTAATATGGAGGACGAATCCTGCAAAAACAATAAATATTATTGTTTTTGCAGGTTTCGTCCTCATGTCATAGCTGGGGGCGCGGCATGGGGAAAACAATCCTTTCCCACTGACAGGAAATGCATGGTGTTAATCCAGTGTGGCCTACGTAAAGTCACTTTTTTCCGTTTAACAGAGCAAGATACATAAAAAAACTGAGTTGTATTGTCCGTACAGTATCTGTGACTTTACAAACGACCCAAAGAAATGGCCAGTGTCGTTTCCTGATGTCACTTTTTGTAACCCGATTGAGTCTCCAGCTAGAGACAACTGTAATATCAGTATCCCATGGTCATCGTGAGATGACTGGCATGAAGTGGTTTAATCGAGGAACAGACTGTTTTTTCCCATTAGTTATCAGAACAGAAAATACAGGCGACAAAAGTATGTTTATTAAGCAAATAACGGTTCAGTATTGCAATTAAGAGCTATGTAAGCATTAATATTTTACATTGGCCACTTAAAATATTTTATAATTTAACTCTCTCATGATTATAACTACAAAACTAACCCTATGAAAAAGTGTAAGATAATAATCAGTCACCTTGACTGGTGAAGTTAATACGCATGCGCAGGCAAACGCTCAAGCGCGTTACACACGATCCACCTATTCTTGCATAATTGACACCCTCTCATTAGCATGTTGCTCAGAGGAAAAAAAAATGTGGAACTACATTCAGAAATAAATGAGTGATCAAAGGAAAATAGTTAGGATGAGTTTAGCATTTCCTTAAACATTTTCCATTTGCCCACCAATTTATTTTATTTATTTGCCTACTCTTCATCACGTTTAATTATTTATTTATGTATTTAAACAAAAATACGTGTATTTATGCACACATTTATTTACTTATTTGTGTATTTATTTATTTATTGTTTTTGCAGGTTTCGTCCTCCATAGTTTAAACCCCAAAGGAAAATGTTTCTTAACGAGATTGACTTTTTCTCATAAAAATGTGTTTTTTGTGCAAAAGTCAGGTAATTTTGTTGTGTTTTTTGTTATTTTTAGTAGTTATTAAAAAAATATATATATAGTTTTATCCATTTTTATTTCATTTCATTAGTACATTTTTTTTGTTTGTTATTTTACTACATCAAGTTGAGCACAAGCTATGTATGTAAGTTATACATATATTATTTGTATAATTTTTAGTTATTAAAATAATTTATAAAGGGATTTTTTCACATATTTGTTCATGCATCAGGCAAAAATCACAGTTTGATCAATAAGAAAGGTATAGCACATGGTTTGAGATACTGTTCATGTCTGTCGCACAAATGTTGCAAAGTTAAGTACGTGGGTGATAACATAGAAAAATGCGGCCACTAGTGAAGTACGATGCCTGTCAATTCACATCTTGATTTATAACCTCAATCCTGATATTTACTTTTCAGAATATACATGATAATTAATTCAGAACTGGAAATGGTCTTCCAATACATCACTAAGTCAAAATGTCCATTTGTGTGACTGATGCATCTCATTAGTGGTGGATGTGCTGTGCACATGCTGTCCAGACTCTGAAATACCCACAGCTGTTTACGTTTCAAAGACAGCATGTTCTTTCTGAATAAATAGAGCTGCGTCCTGCATAATGACAGATAGTCTTCCTCTCTCTTGATTATGCACGGCTATATGAAGCATTGCTGTGCAATGATGAACATGTGCACGTCACAGGCACGTTTTAACATTTTAAGCATGTTTAAACTCTCACTTTTGTACCTGATTAACAAGGAGCTGCATAATTTATGCCAATCGATCCATTTTTCACAATAATGGAGAGGGTGTTTTAATGAGAGGAATAGAAATAGCTTCAGCTCACATTTTCTGCTTCCGTTTTGAATTAACAAGGAATTTCTGATTGCTTTGGTCAAATTTTTTTTTTAACACGGCTAACCTTTTACACCAGCATTATCATAAAGAATAGCTAAACATTCGTATGAGCTCTGTTTTGAAATTAAAAGCTGCGATTGAATGAAAATCCTCAATACAGTTAATTCTATATGATATTAGTTAGAGAATAATATATCAAACAGGACTTAGGGAATTAGCCAATATTTGACCATTTCAACTGATACCTTTTTGAGAATTGTTGAGAACACCGAACATTCCCCTGAAGTTCTGTAAACCTTCCATAAAGAAATAACCAATTCCATAAATATCTGGCCAACCAAATACAAACCTTAAAAAGTGCTTGTTCTGGGAACATTCAGGGAATCATAAACTAATGTTCTCAGAATGTCCTTGGAACCCAAAAATTGGTAGCTGGGTTATATTTTAAAAAACGTAATTATATTAATGCTGAAATTAGTTTTGTTGACAATATGAATTTCTTTACAAAACTAAGGGCCAGATTTGCTAAACGGGGCAAATTAACGTTAGAGCACAATTCCATAAAAGCGCAGATGGGAGGGGAAAATTCTGTGGGTGATTTACTAACAATGCGTACATTAAAGAACACAGATGCAGCCAGATCATTTCCATAATGACCAGCGCAATCTACCAAGAGCAGCGCAAATTACCGTCTGCTTTAAAGGGTTAGTTAAAACAATATAAACACCTTTCTCTCACTTCTGCTAACTGTCGAATGCAGAACCATTCCGGCGGATGACGTAGGACGTAAGCGCCGGTGATTAGTGACGAACGTGGAAGTGCGGAGGAGAGAGCAAAACAAAAAGCCGGTCACGAAGTAGAATCACAAAACGAGGATTTGTAAACAAAAATGTCAGAGGATTTCAATATAAGTGTCACGAATCCTGTCCATGGACTTCCATCCGCTCGCCACCAGAGATCGCTCTTCCATTACATTGACTCTCACACTACACAGACTGTTACATGTCACTCCGGACTACAGTTCCCATCATCCATTGCACTGATTACACACACACAGCTGCATCCAATGAGACGCTTTATAAGCCTTGGACTTCCTCTTTCAGATTGCTGAGTATTGTCTACGTTTATCACTCTTCTAGCGATAGCAACTTTACGGAGCCATTCCGTGTTTCCTGAGTTCAAGTCTAGTCTGTCCTGTTTATTACCTGTTTTACCTGAGTCTTGATTCTAGCCCGGTTTACCTCGTTCTGTCTGATATCTGCCTGCCCTGTAGCTTATAGCTTGTCTTGGATTAACCCTTTGCCTGCTGTTTCGGATTGTGTTTGCACCTCACCTGGACTATCTTCTGTTTCTGGATTCCCCGTTCGCATCGCCCTCAGGATTAAGTTCGCAGTCGATCAACCCACGCCTTTTTTAGGATCACTCTTGTGTCTTGTCTGTACCATACCTGTTTGCTGATGTTCGACCTTGCCTGTGTTTTGACCATGTCTCTGAATAAAGCTATGCGTATGGATCCGCATGTCTTTCGTCTCACTCGCCCCGTTACAATAAGCCAAAAGGAGACTGCTTTTCCTTTAGTAAAGTAAGGAAACTTTGCTTCCTTTGCTCCTGTAAACAAACATTGTTTTTCGCGAGACTCACACACGCATGCGCTACACATACATCCAGCGGCATCCGCCGGAAAGGCAGTCTTTCGTGAGCGCGCGTACGACAGTTAGTGGAAATTACACAAAACTGTTTATATCATTTTAAATATGGATATATTTTTACAAAACCGCATTGATTTACTACAGGAGAACTTTATTCACCCTCTGGAGCCATTTGAGGCACGTTTTATTATGGATAGATGCGCTTTATTTGACTACTTTTGGACTGTTGAACAAAAACACCCGCCCACGCCATTATAAAGCTTGGAAGAATTTTTTATA